AAGAAACATACAGAACACCAAATAGATGCACCAGAAATAAAAAGTCCCCTCACCACATAAGACTCAAAACACTAAACATACAGAACAAAGAAATAATATTAAAAGCTACAAAGGAAAATGGCCAAATAACATATAAAGACATACTTATCAGAATTACACCTGACTTCCCAGTGGAAACTCTAAAGTCTAGAAGAGCCTGGACAGATGTCTTGCAGACTCTAAGAGACCCTGGATGCCAGCCCAGACTACTATATCCAGCAAAACCTTCAATCACCAATGACAGAGAAAACAAGTTATTTTGTGACCAAGTCAAATTTAAGTAATATCTATCCACAAACCCAGCTCTACAGAAGGTACTAAAAGGAAACACTCCAACAGAAAGAAGTTAGCTGCACCCACCAAAACACAGATAGATAATCCCACACAAGAAGGAAACACACACAACAACAACAAAAATAACAGGAATTAACAATTACCAGGCATTAATATCTCTCAATATCAATGGACTCAATTTGCCAATAAAAAGACACAGACTAACAGAATGTTTATGAAATCAGGGTCCACCCCTCTGCTGTATAAAAGAAACACATCTCAACATCAAACACAGACATTACCTCAGAATAAAAGGTTGAAAAAAGATTTTCCAATCAAACAGAACTAAGAAGCAAACTAGTGCAGCTATTCTAACATCTAACAAAATAGATTTCAAGCCAAAATTAATCAAAAGAAATGGAGAAGGACATTTCATATTCATCAAAGGAAAAATCCACCAAGATGATGTCTCAGTTCTGAACATCTAGGACCCAAACACAAGGGCACCTGCATTTGTAAAGCTAAAATCACATATCAAACCCACACATTAATTGTGGGAGACTTCAAACCCTATTCACATCAACAGACAGGTCATCCAGATCTAAACTAAACAGAGAAATAATAGAACTAACAATTATAACTCAAACGGACCTAATAGATATTTACAGAACATTTCACCCAAATACCAAAGAATATTCCTTCTTCTCTGCACCTCATGGAACCTTCTCCAAAATTGACCATATACTTGGTCACAAAGCAAGTCTTAACAGATACCAAAAAAGTGAAATAACCCCCTGTATCTTATCAGACTGCAATGGATTAAAGTTGGAGTTCAACAACAACACAAACTACAGAAAGCCTACAAACTCAAGGGAACTGAACAGCTCTCAACTGAGCTACCACTGGATCAAGGAAGAAATAAAGACTTCCTGAAATTCAATGAAAATGAATGCACAACACACCCAAACTTATGGGACACAATGAAAGCAGCACTAAGTGGAAAGTTTATAACACTAAGTGTCTTCATAAAGAATTTGGAAAAACTTCATACTAGTGACTTAACAGAACACTTAAAAGCTCCAGAACAAAAATAAGCCAACACAGCCAAGAGGAGTAGGTGTCAGGAAATAATCCAACTGAAGGCTGAAATCAATAAAATAGAAACAAAGGGAATAATACAAAGAATCAGTGAAACAAAGAATTGGTTCTTTGAGAAATTCAACAAGACAGACAAACCCTCATCCAAATAAACTAAAAGACAGAAAGAGATTATCCAAATTAACAAAAGCAGAAATAAAAAGGGGGCCATAACAACAGACTTTAAGGAAATCCAGACAATCATTAGATCATACTTCAAAAACCTGTACTCCACAAAATTGGAAAATTTAAAAGAAATGGACAAATTTCTTGATAGATGTCACATAACAAAATTAAACCAAGATCAGATGAACAATTTAACAGTCCTATAACCACGAAGGAAACAGAAGCAGTCATTAAAATACCCCCAACCAAAAACAGCCTAGATGATTTCAGTGCAGAATTCCATTAGACTTTCAAATAAGAGCTAATACCTCAAATTATTCTTCAAATTAGTCCAAAGTACTCCACAAAATAGAAACAGAAGGAACATTGCCAAATTTGTTCTATGAGGATATAGTTACCCTGATACCCAAACCATAAAAAGCCTCAACAAAGAAAGAAAATTACAGACCAATTTCCCTCACGAACACTGATGCAAAAATTATAGTCCAATTTCCCTCACAAACATTAATGCAAAAATACTTGATAAAATGCTGGCAAACTGAATCCAAGAATGCATTAAAAAAGATCATCCACCATGATCAAGTGGGCTTCATCCCAGAGACGCAGGGATGGTTCAATATATGAAAGTCTGTCAATGCAATCCACCATATAAACAAACTGATAGGAAGAAAACACATGATCATATCATTAGATGCTGATAAAGCCTTTGACAAAATCCAACATGGCTTCATGATAAATGACTTGGAGAGATCAGGGATGCAAGGAACATACCTTAATGTAATAAACACAATATATGGCGAACCGACAGCCAACATCAAATTAAATGGCGAGAAACTCAAATCAATTCCACTAAAATCAGGAGCAAGACAAGGCTTTCCTCTCTCCCCATATCTATTCAATACAGTACTAGAAGTTCTAGCTAGAGCAATTACAACAAAAGGAGATCAAGGGAAACAAATTGGAAAAGAAGTCAAAGTATCATTTTTGTAGATGACATGATAGTATATATAAGCAACTCCAAAAATTCTACCAGGGAAGTCCTATAGCTGATAAACACTTTTAGTGAAGTGGCTGGATAAAAGGTTAGCTCAAAAAAATCAGTAGCCCGATTTTATACATATGATAAAAGGGCTGAGAAAGAAGTCAGAGAAACAGCACCCTTCACAATATCCACAAACAGTATAAAATATCTTTAGGTAACTCTAACCAAGCAAGTGAAATACCTGTAAGACAAGAACTTCAAGTCTTTGAAGAAAGAAACTGGAGAAGATACCAGAGAATGGAAAGATCTTGTGCACATGGTTCAGTAGGATTAACATAGTAAAAATGACCATTTTACCAAAAGCAATCTATAGATTCAATGCAACCCCCATCAAATTTCCAACAAAATCCTTTACAGACCTTGAAAGAACTTCAACTTCATATGGAAGAACAAAAAACCCAGGGTAGATTAAACAATCTTGTACAATAAAAGATCTTCTAGAAGTACCACCATCCTGGATCTCAAACTCTACTACAGAGCCATAGTAATAAAAACTGCATGATGTTAGCATAAGACACATGGACCAATGGAATTAAATCAAAGACTCAGGTATAAATCCACACTCCTACGGACACTTTATTTTGGCAAAGAAGCCAAAACTATACAATGGAGAAAAGAAAACATCTTCAACAAATGGTGCTGGCGTAACTGGATATAGTCGTGTAGAAGAATGCAAATAGATACATATCTATTCCCTTCACAAAACTCAAGTCCAAGTGGATCAAAACTGCAACATAAATCCGGTTACACTGAACCTAATAGAAGAGAAAGCAAGGAATAGCCTCGAACACATTGGCACAGGAGACAACTTCCACCAATATCACAGACACTAAGATAGAAAATTAATAACGGGATCTCATGAAACTGAAATACTTCTGTAAAGCAAAGGACACTGTCAATAGGACAAAACAGCAGCCTACAAAAATGGGAAAATACCTTCACCAACTCCACATCTAACAGAAAGCTGATCTACAAAATATATAAAGAACTCAAAAAAACTAGACATCAAAATACCAAATAGTCTAATTTAAAAATGGGATACTGACCTAAGCAGAGAATTCTCAAAAGAAGAATCTCATGGCCAAGAAACACTTAAAGAGATGTTCAACATTCTTAGCCCTCAGGAAAATGCAAATCAAATACTCTGGGATTTCATCTTAGACTTGTCAGAATGGCTAAGATCAAAACCACAAGTGACAGCTCTTGCTGGCAAGGATGTGGAACAAGAGGTTGTGCTTTGCAAACTTGTACAGCTACTTTGGAAAGCGATATAACAGTTTCTCAGAAAATTGAGAATTCATCTACCTCAAGACCCAGGTATGCCATTCCTGGGCATATACTTGAAGAATGCTCAACCTTACCACCAGGATAATTGCTCATCTGCATTCACAGCAGCTTGATTTGTAATAGCCAGAACCTGGAAACAACCTAAAGGTCCCTCAAAAGAGTAAGGAAGAAAGAAAATGTGGTTCATTTACACGATGGAGTATTACTCATCTGTTAAAAACAATGGCATCAGGAAATTTGAAGTCAAATGGATGGAACTAAAAAAAAATCATCCTGAGTGAGGCAACCCAGCCCCCAAAAGACAAACATGGTATGTACTCTCTCATAAGTAGGTAGTAACAGGCTACAATCCAGAGATCCCAAGATGCTAGGTAACAAGGAAGGCCCAAGGAAGTGGTAGTGGGGGAGGGGTTGCATGGATCTCCCAAGGAAGGGAGAATAAAGGAGATCTCTTGGTTGGATTGGGAATGGGTGGGCATGGGAACTTTCGGGATCAGGTTGGGGGTGGGTGGAGAGGAAGAATGCTAAGAAAGATGCCTGGAAAGGGGGGCTTTATTTATGGAGTCAGGTAGAAGCCAGATGGAAGGGAAACTTCCAAGAGTCCACAATGATGGCCCCAGCTAAGCTAAGCAACAGTGGAACCATACCCTGAACTGGGCATCCCCTGTGATCAGATTGGTGACTACCCCAATCATCATTGGAGAGCCTTCATCCAGTGACTGATGGTGGCAGATTCAGAGATCCAGCCCTCAACAGTGGGTTGAGCACAGGGAGTCCTGCTGAGAATAGGGAGGAGGGATCATAGGATCCAGGGGCATCAGGGACAATGGAGGACAATCCACAGAAACGGCTAGCCTCACTCATGGGAACTCAAGAGTCTGAACCAACAACCAGAGAGCCTGAATGGAGCCACCTAGGTAGGCCCTCTGCATATATGTGACTGTTGTGTAGTTTGGTTTACTTGTGGGACTCTCGGTAATGGGAGCAAGGCTGTCCTTGGTGTTTTGCCTGACCTTGGGAACCTATTCTTCACACTGGATTGCCTTGCCCAACCTAAATACGGGGGTGGGGGTGTGGTGGGGAGTTTTGCTTGGTCTTGTGGCAGCTTGATATGGCATGCTTTGCTGATGCCCATGGGAGAGAGAGGAAGGAAAGGGGGGAAGGGGAGGCTACAGTTAGGATGTATAATCAATTAGTTAATTAATTACTTAATTAATAAAATAGAAGAATAGAATAATAATTAATAAAAAAGAAGTGGTGTAAATCTTCCTTCTGCTATTTCCACACCACCTGGCTTTAAGTAAGCTAACCATTCTCTATACAATAGCAGTAGGCATAGAAAGTGCTTAGCTGAAGACTAGTTCAGTAAACATTACAGCAGTTATAAACCCTTACTGCCTCTAGCTTATAGAGTGGCTACCAGTTTAAACAGGCATTTACAACAAAATGGTGTTTTCAAACATGTGGCAAGGAGGTGCTTATGCATATAATGAAAAACAAGTTAAAGCCAGTGGTTCTCAACCTGTGGATCGGGAGCCCTTGGGTCACATACCAGATATTTACATTATGACTCATAACAGTATCAAAATTGCAGTATGAAGTGGCAATGAAATAATTTTATGTGTGTGGGGCAGGGGGGTTTCACCACAACATGAGGAACTGTATTAAAAGGTCACACCATTAGGAAGGTTAGACCATTATTGTATTTGGAAGCATGGAAGAAAAAAATTTTTGTCTGTGTAGATCTTCATCTGTGTCAATGTACACTAGATAAAATCTACCCAATGGAATCTCAGTGGCCTCCTTGAACTTGAGAACAGGTGATTCCCCACGGTTAACAGGACATTGTGAAAGATGCCCCAGGATCCCCTGGGATAATTAACCTTGGAGGGCAAGCAGGGTAATAGTCTCTTATTCTCTGTTAATTCCTCTGGCCACATCAGAATCACCTTTGAGTCTATATCAAAGAAAAATTGATCATTTTTAAAAAGCCAACAAAACAAAAGGCCCCTTGTGGAGCAACAAGAACAAGGTACTTTGTGGAGAGAATCACTTGTAAAAAGCAGTTAACAGATTGGTGGTCAAACTAATAACATTCATGGTATCTGGAAATTTCCACCAGCATGCCACCCCTGAGCTGGTGAGGAACAGAGGTCCAACCTAGCAACATGCCCTTCACTGGATGATAAGCTAAAGTTTCTGGACCTTTTCACCAACGTGAAACACAACAACAATAAGACTACACTAGACACAGTTGATGTTTTTAGAGTAAAGGGAAAACTTCCAGTATAAAACAGTCAATATTAAAAGAAAATACATTTTAAAATTAAAAATAAGTAAATACGTAGTATATGCATTAACAAGGGGTGGTTTGAACTTGTTTAATTTATTAAGGCTCTTTTATTTTTAAAAAAAGGCTTTTTAAGTAATTAAAAACGTTTCTATTCTTACATAAGAAATCAGGGCAACATCAATAGGCTGTATGTTTTGGGAATGTCTTGAATAGCCTTGGCCTACAGCAAATCAAAAGAGGGCCTCTCGTGTTTGCTATTGGGGTTTTAGTTTAGGGATCTTGGCTCTTGGAGGGAGCACTGTCTGTCCAAATGAGAAGAAAATCATTAAAACCATATATGCATATTTATACACAAAATGGCATGCATTATGGTTTTTTAAAGGCAAACAGTTAATAAGATGATCCCTTGTGGCTTTTTCAGACATTCATAATGCGATGTCAGCCGTCTCCTTCCTCCTCCTGTGTTACCTCCCTCCACCTTCCCTAGAGAGCCTCCTCTTTCCCCTCTTCCGCTATCAGATCAGATCACTTGCATCTGTTTATTCCTCTTTAGCCTCCTCCTGCTTCTTTCAGTATTTATCTCCCACCCCCTCCCATTTCCCTGATCAGATCAACTGTACCCTGCATTTTCCCACGCCACTGTTCTCCGTTCCCACGGTCCTGGCAACAGCCCCATTTTACTCTCTTGGTTTCTGTAGATATGGCAAGCTCTGTACTCACACCTGAAGATTTGGAGCTAGGAGCCACCAATGAAAGAGAACATAACGTTTGTCTTTCTGGGTCTAAGTCACCTCACTCAATATGATCTCTTCTAGTTGCTGTTGCCCTTGGTTATCACCCAGAGGTGGACAGTAAGTCCCGATTGCCGAAGACACTATACACTTCAGAATTGGGATCCAAAGACCCCTGAGACGGAACTGACATGAATGCCCCCTTCCTGCGGCCTAGCTTTTATGGTACCAGAAGGCATCCTACAAGCTCCCAAAGGAGGGAAGCTACCCAGATATGATGCCTATGAAGCACATCAGTGAGAAACATGGAATGATAACCCAAGGGTGCAACCATGGCACACATAAATTGGTGGTTAACAATCCCCTTCTAATTGGACGTAAGACTTGCAAGAGGGAGACCATGCCTTGTACTGGAACCTAGCCAACTACTCAGTGCTACTAAAATCATGGTTACTAGAGGAAAATCTTCAACCACTAAGTTACTAAACCAGCACAATCCCTAACAACTATCTATAAACATTTGTCTTTGTACCAATGGATAAGTGTAGTCTTCATCCCTCATCAAGGAAACTTCCCTTTGCAACAGAGACCACTACAGAAAACCACAACCAATCAGAATGCAGAGTTGTGGAGCCCAGTCCCAATAGCTACATCTACATCTCCAAAACCCTCCTTTACCTAAGTCTTGTGGAACATTGCAGAAAATGGGACAAACATTGCAACAGCCAGAGAATTGGGGAGCTTGGTGTGGGATTATCTCTCCTAGTAATGTCAGAAAGACCCATAAAGTCTCATCAACATGACTGCCCCAATGTGAGGTGACATTCAAATGGGGTGGTATCAGATACAGAAGGAACCTCATTTCCCCAAATTCTGGTGGTTAGATAAAAACCAGCATTTCTCAGAAACTTGTGAAGCCAGTTCCCCTCTACTAAAAGAAGCCTTTCCCATTATCATTGGCAAAAGGGACAAATGGCTGTCTGTGGTGCCTATTAGCACACCAAAGCACGTGCTGGCCTCCAGACTCCTCAGTGTCACAAGGACTTATTACACATTTCCAAGTCCTTGCTGGCATCCTGGCTCTCCTCAGCTCTTCTCAACTCCTCACTTCCCTAAATTTCTTCAGCTCATGGGCTTCCCTCCCCACAGCTACCCATTCTTACAATACCTCTATTTTGACTATGAGCTCTTTTGATCCTCTCTCTGTCTTCATCTCTCACCCACCCCACCTCATCTACCTCTGCTCCTGCTTATCTCTTGGCCAGGCCCTGTCTACAAGACAGGTTCAGTCTACTACTTTCTCTCTCTGCTCTGGACTCTTCCAGATGCCTCTGTTGTTTGCTTCCTTATATCTACAACAAAAACCTTTCCTTTCCCATAACCATACCATGGAGTAGTCACACAGTTTATACAGACAGGGGAAAGTCCAAGAGGCCCCAGTCCTATGTAAAGAGCTATAGGCAACTGAAGAAAGCTGGGAACAAGAGAGCTTGTCTTCCCCAGGAAAGAGCACACCAATTGATTGTCTGGTGCCAAATTGTCAGCCTTGAAAATATACATACCAGTAACATTACATGGACTCCACAGGAAATATGTATGTATAGGGTTATTGCAGTATATCTGTTATGCCTATATAGAGAGATACAGATTTTGCAGTAACAGTGAAAAAAAGAGGCCATGGATTTGAAGGAGAGTAGGGAGAGATACATGAGAAGGTTTGGAGGGATGAAAAGAAGGGGAAAATGTAATTATATCGTAATCTCAAAGATAAAATAAAACTGAAAAAGAAAGAAGCCAGGCTAGCTAACAGTGCTAATGAAGTCAGCTCCAGAGTAGACAGAAACAGGGCTTCTTCTGAGGACTCTCTGCAACTCTAAGATGTCATAGCAATCGCTTTCTTTGAATGCTGACTGTTCTCTTACCCACTCAGCAACTTTGGTCTCTAAAATCATAAACTGTCAGGAGATGAGTGAGAATGAACCATCTGTCTCTGCCTAGACGATCTAAGTTTCTTTGACAGAGAGACACAGTCTTGATTTATAACTGAGATGCTAGTCTTCAGAGAGCTTCAGAGTAGACAGATTCACAACTGTAGTCACTTTGCTCTGGAGGAAGCTGCACCCTGGTCCATGACACAGCTGGTGCTGAGCCATTTAGATACAGCCTTCGTATGCATTAACAATATCAGGACAACTTAAGTTTCTCAATATTCTGTGTAATTCCATCCTTTCCCTGGTTTAGTCTAAAAGTAAAAAACTCATCAGTTTGATGATACAGCCAGGTTACAAGCTAGCCCAGAAATGGCCCTGGTAGAGTTTCCATAAGGGCAAACAGTTAATAGGCTTTATCTATCTATCTATTTATTTATTTATTTTTTATTACATGTTCATTGCTCAAGATCTTGGTCAGGCTAAGCTAGAAAAAGAGCCTGACTTGTGTGTGTGTGTGTGTGTGTGTGTGTGTGTGTGTGTGTGTGTGTACATATATATATATATATACATATAGAGAGAGATGGAAAGAGAGAAGTTCAGGCTACAGGATATATATTCATATATTCACTCCCAAATGATAATAGATGACAGATACTATTGTAAGTTGTCTATAAGAGAGCAATTAGGTTGGAAATAAAATGGTGAAAAAAAGATAAATCATCCAAACACTAAAATAATGGAGAAATTACATAAGTATCAGAGAAGTCAAACTGCCATGTTGTGTTTGACTTCAGTTAGTTGGTGAGGTCCCCATTTGTCTGTACTGACATAAAAGTTATGAGTAAGGGACAGAAATGTTGAGAACTCTAGTAATGGCCAAAGGCTACAGAAAAACACCTGAGGAGACTCCTTGGGGAACACAGAAAATTAGCAAATGTTTTTAATTCTGTTATTTATATGGAGTCTGGTTATTTAAATGGAGGGATACTCAGGATGATTGCCTTTAGTAGCAATCGAATGCTCTTCATATCATTCTTTCTCAAGCTGCCATGTTAGGGAAATTCAGGGAAGAATACATCTGATTTTCAGTGTTCAACCCCAGCGAACACTATCTTACCGCTTCCAACCTTTTAGCGTGGAACTCTGCTGCTGTAAAGTACCTTCCTGGTTTGAGCAACTTATCAGTTATGTTTGATACATACACACCAATTTTAGTCATCTGAGTAGATGTTGTGTTTGTAGTTTGTTGCATCTTTTTCCTCTGAGAAACTGTCTAAAATAAAAACATTAAAAATAAGCATCTTTTACATAATTCCTATTGCAAAGACAATCTTACAAAACATCTGCAAGTGAAAATTGTTTTTCTTCATATTTACATTCATCTTTCTTTTGTTATATTTCTTATCACACCATTAATTATGTGGGGAGAGGCTGAGTGAGTATGAATCATTGACATGAGCATAGCCATGTCAAGGACCCAGAGCCTCAGACCCATGGAAATGACAAAGCCTTCCCCAGATCAGATCCAGGGCAATAGCAAGGCGTTCCCTTGGTCAAAGTAATGATGTGGACAGTGTGTGTGGAAAACACCAACCATAGCTTCCTCCTCCCAGATGACTGCAGCCTGACACTGCTCCCAAGGGACCCTACAAGATTAACTGACTCCTTCTCAGCTGCATACAGTGTTAAAAAAAACAAACAAAGAAAGAAACCTCCTCCCTCCACAGCAGAGTCCACACTCAGTGGTTTATAATAAATGCACCAAGTTTCCAGGCAGCTGGTGCATCTCCATCAGAGCACACCACTCATCACCAGATCCTCACTTATCTGTCTGTCTTTCCTTCATTACCTGTCACCGCAGTAAGGTCAACCCCAAAGCTACTTGGCTTGTGGCAAATTTTAAGGGAGTCATAGAGTATGCAATTACTGATCCTATAACGCCACACACATAAATAGGACAATAAAAGAATTACCTGGGTGTTCCTACAAAACTGATGGGGTTTTTCAGGAGCCTTCTTCGGTACGGTTTGTGTTCCAGCATTGTGATATTCTACTCCTGTTATTTTATGTTTAAATCCACCGAGAAATGGCTTGTGGAAGTCAGATTTTATTATCTCAACAGCTACCTCCTCGAAGTGCTCGGCGTCTAAGATGATGAAAACCAAGACTGAAGGAAAGTTCAACACAAGGGCACTGTGAAGCACCATCTTAAAAACGTCATAGGACTCACCAGTCTGTATGGTGGCTGTTATGATCTGGGAGCCCTCACTTAAGCCTTCTATTCTTCTGACTGGATATTGTTGGGGATGTGTGGAAAATATCTCCACTTGGACAATTTCATGTGGTTTAACTCCATATTGTATTAGAGTCTCATTATTCCCAACAATAATTCCTGAGAAAATGAAAGTGTTAAAATGGTTTATGGCAAAGAAATGGCTGTTTCTGTTCATTCTTACTTTAAATTGAGAAAATTGTGTGTTTAAGTTGTACCAAATGATGTTACAATCAGCACATGCCCAGGCTGTGAAATGGTTAAATCAAGCTAACAAATCCTATACCTCACACAAAATTCTATGGTGAGAACACTTAAATTTCACTGTCTTGGTAGTTTTCAAGTATATAGTACATGCTGTTAAGTACAATCACAGTTATATGCAATGATCAACCAAGCATTCCTATTTTAAGGAAATGGAAAATATCAAAGATGCTTGTAGGAACACATGTCAGCAAATTACTAGATGTGGTATTAGTAATTTCTACCTCATGTTATGATGTTAGTACAGAAAAGTCCACAAGACAGTAACTATAATTCAAAATGATTTAATATATTGTATAGATAGCTAGAAAAGAGATAAAGAGATGAAAAGTTTGGTTATCTTGCTTTATTGGTTCATATTTTAAATCTTGTTGAAGCATGCCATACATCATAAATATGCATGTGATTACATATCAATAAAAGTAAATAAATCCAGTCATGGTGGCTCATGGCTGTAATGCTAGCAAAGGAGAGGCTGAGGCAGAATGTTCACCAACCTAAGAGTTCAAGTACAACCTAAGCTATATAGTGACTTCTTGGCTGGGTTACAGTGGGAGATTCCGTCTAAGGAGATGGACATGCTGGGTATATGATTAACTCTGCATAGTGTAGATTCATCACATAATCTTCCTATGTCCCACAAATAGGTCTAAATAAAATAAAAAGAAGTAAAACTCCATAATAGGAATAGTTAGTGAGTGGGTTTAATAATGTAGCAATGTAGCAGTATAGAGTTATGCACCAGTCCTTCAGGAATATAAATATCTAATAACCATGAAACTCTATAAACACTTGAAAATAAAACCATTCTATGATATGAGCAGAATCATGTACTAAACGTTTATACAAAAGACAACACAGGCCATGTCCAAATGGGCGAAGCATGGACTGCCACTCTAGAAGCTGGAATAGCAAGCAAGCAGACCTCCCAACTAGACATTGCACTCTCCAGTGTAGAAAAACATTGATTCAGAATTCCAAGGAATCACTCATCCCCTTTCTCTTCCAACAGAGTCTTACACGGTGAATGACAGGTGGAGCCAGGATTCATGATACATTACCTCATGTTTCTGTTACATTGCTTCAATTTCTATTCATTCCTTCCTGCTCTGCACTACTGCTACTGCATTCAGCTAAGCAGCTAATACTTTCCTGCTTTGTGGGATATACAAATATAATAAAGGGCTAAGAATGGCCAAATTGGTAATGTGCTTGCTTCACAAGCACGGGGACTTGAATTCAGATCCCCAGAATACACATCTGTAAGCCCAGCCATGGGGAGGAGGATTCTGGGTCTTTTTCTGTAGCTGATCTAGTCAAATCAGTAGGTTTGAATGAATCTGGTTGAGTGAATTGCTTGTGACAGACAGAACAGCAGCACCAAGAGTAGCCCACATCGTGATCCTTAGGACCTCATCTTACAGAGCAACCATGACTGCAGATTTGGTTAAGGACTTGAAATGGAGAGCTAATCCTCATTATCTAGCTGTACCCTGCATTACACATGCCCTTGTTAGAGAAGGAAAAAGAGAGACTTGACTTGGAGGAAAGGGCAATGTGACAGAAGAAAAGTCAGACATGTCTAAATGTGTGTGCCTCTGGGAATGGATAAATGACCAAGGAAGCACTGGATGCCAGACCTGCAACTCTAGAAGCAGGAATGGCAAGCAGGTGGCTTTCCCTCTAGCTACCCCACTCACACCTTACCTTGATCCCACTGAAAATGGCATGGGAACTCTACCCTCCAGAACTGAAAAGGAAGTTTACTTTGTGCCTCTAAGCTGTATTAGTCATTATAGCAGCCATAGAAAACTAATACACATTCCCTGAGCTCTCTTTGTTCCTATGTTCTTTTCTAGAGTGAGCACGGACCCATTAAGCTTGAGCTAAAGTTCTTGTGCTGGGAGAAAGCACCTGTTTTGCAGGATGGTTGATTGGCATGGAATCTCACATTTCTCCCTTCGGTGCTGACATGAACTTGTCACCCAGACGTTGTACCAGTAACTATAAAGAAGAATGGTCAGTCATAAAACACCAAGGACAGAACTCCCCAGTGTCGATACCTTTAAACGATCTCTAAGCTCTCTGTAGCCTCCGATTCTAAACTTCACATTTGAGTTAATAACCTGCAATTTAAACTTCCCTCTGTAATGATATCCATTTCAAACTCAGCCACTTATCAGCACATTGACTTTAAGGAGTTTCCTTAGTTTACTCTCCAAATAGTTAACAATGATATATATCTCCCTTAAAGGGGTGTTGTGTGAATTAAATGATTAAATAAGCAGAATATCTTATAGAAATATTAACACATGCTGATGATTCTACCATTGTGATTATCATTATCATTTTTTGACAATCACTCCATGCTTCATCTTGGTCTTCCCAATCAACCTTTAATTGGTTATCAATACATCTTAACATTTGGCGTTCATTCACTCTTGTAGGGCTTAAAACTTTTATTGCATTTTATTCCCTTATTTATTCATTGTGTGTGTGTGTGTGTGTGTGTGTGTGTGTGTGTGTGTGTGTGTGTGTTTGCATGCATGTATGTGTGTGCATGTCATGGCACAGGAGTGACAGTCAGAGGACAAGTTGAAGGAGTCAGTTCTCTCCATCCACCATTTGGGATAGAAACTCAGGTTTTAAGGCTTGCATCAAGTACTTTGACCTGCTCTGCTTTCATGCCATGCCTAGGCTTTTAAAATTTAATTTAGAACTAAATTTATTCCCTGAAAACTACTTGTAACATATTTATAAATCAATACAGAAAACCATTTTAATGAAAACATTAGGATTTGTTCATTTACGTTCAAGATAAACATATCAGCCATACTAACCTAGCATACTACCAAAGTTACAAAGAATTTATCTAATTACCACACGAAGCTGAATAACTTAAGCAGAGATTCTCAACAACGTCCACAAAACGTAAGTAAATTTTACATTGTGAACATTGCCTTAATGTCTAGACAACTCGGGAACTCTCTTGGTGCTCTATGTCTTTGTCAGCACCCATTTTTGTTCAGTTTCATTTCCCCTCCACTCACTTTAGACATCAAGTTTCTCCATCCCATTGGAATTTAGCCCCAGAATTATCGCTTTCATTGACTGAAATGTCCTATAGCCACCTAGGTTCCTTCCTCTGGAATATTCGAGTTTGAGTGCACATTGCCATGAAAGCACCTCCATAGTATGTGATACCTACCCTCCCCCCCAAGCAATCCTTCCCTGCTGGTCTGTAAATGGCCTGAGGGCAGGAATAGTTCTCCTACAGAGAATGTTCAGTTACATCCAAAGGATCTAGACCAAACTATGTGTTTATAGAAGTGTGTTACATGAGCTGATGTATGACAGTGCAATGCTGAAGTAGTAACTACTAAGGTCTTTGGTAATTTCCGTGTTAAAACCAGGACAGTCTTGATAAATTTCTTAGCCTTCAAACTTACCTGAATGTGATATCTGCAGTACATAATGCGGGAGGCGTAATAGGCGTGCAAAGTGCTCCTTGAGTAATCGAAAAGGAGCATCAACTCTAAAAGGCATTATGATTTCCTGGGCTATAGGAATAAGTACAATTTTTACTGTAAACAAGAAAGAAAGAGAGAAAGAAAGATCATCAGCAAATACAGCAAGGAGCAGCAACGTGTATCTAAAGAACGGGAAAGTAGGACACAGGTTTTTTTTTTTTTCCATTTGTTTGTTTTTAATCACTATGCGTGTGGTATAAATTACATTAACAGGGATTACTGGAATATCCAAAATGACATAAAAAAACTTCACATGGAGTAACTGATTTGAGAGCTGCTGGGTTCTCTCTGGTGAGATTATCTTCTCAGTCTGCTCCTTGTCGTTCTTGGCACAGCGTGCCCCAGCATCTGAGCTGCCCCTCTGTGCTCTAGAGCTGCATTTCACCAAAGTCACTTGCTGCTCTCCAGGTAGGATAGAAAGACAGGGAAGCTATAGTGCCATGAGAAGGAAAAGGAACCCCCTTGCCTATCAGATTGCTGCCACTGGGTGGGTGACAAGCAGGGATTCCAGCACAGTTGAAACTGCTCATAGCCTTTCTCCTAGCCCAGCTCTAAGCCTGCAGACCTCAGGGAACCTCACCAGAAAACCCATAAATAGAGGAAGAGCACATACTGAATGAACCCCTTTATGCACTCCTACTGGTCCCTTGTTCTGCTTTATCATATTATAATTCCATCCAATTTATCTCTGAAACCATCCTATAATGTCACTTAAAAAGAGAGAGAAAAGGAAAAGTTTCTTAGCAACCTTTTGAAGGGTAACTCGAAAGCCACCAAGAGTATATATGGTAAATGGTAAGACAGTTAATTAGGACTCTTGCAGAGTCCATGCCCATGCTCTTGGGTGTAGTTTACTTTCCCCCTGGGAGCCTCTTTTTCTTCTAATGTCATGCTTAAAGCCTATAGTAAAATGTCTTTAAAAAATTCTCCAACTCTGCACCATCTTGGCTTGTCTGAGATTCCCTTCTGTGTTGGAGTTACGAATGCTGGTTTGGCTTAGTTTGAATGAGGCCCCTGAAGGATTACAAGAGCTCTTCGGTGACAGTGGGAGCTGTCTCTATCCCCTCATTGCTGATACTATCACTGCTGTTAGATCATATCCCAAGTTCTTTTTGAATGGGTGGAAATTCTCAAAATTCACTGAGCACTGAGCAGTCAGCAGTGATGTAATCATTGTGTTGCTGCTGTTATCAAGTATTGACAACACCTACATGGTATCCACATTGTTATACACAAGTCATTAAAACTGACCTACAATGAAAGCCAAAATGCATTCTCCAGAGCTGTATATAAGGTTTGTACCAGCCAGACAAAAACAAACAAGCAAACATGTAAAAGCATCATGGTATATAAGGCAATACCCAATGCAAATGAGGATCTGTATTCCACTGACACAGTATATCTTGCTAGCTATGTGCAATAATTAACTCCAAGGGCTACAGAGATGGTTCAGAGGTTAAGACTGTTCTTCCAGAGGTCCTGAGCTCAATTCCCAGCAACGACATGGTGGCTCAAAACCATCTATAATGAGATCTGGTGCCCTCTTCTGTCATGTAGGCAGAACATTGTAAACATAGTAAATAAATATTTTGCAAAAAAAAAAAAAAAAAAACAAAACAGTAACTCCAAATCTCCAAGCCAAAAAGATAAAATAAATTCAGTCAGAACCTGTTGCCAATTTTCAAGGTTCCTAAACACATTCAATCCCTATCTATTTGAAATACACAAGCAAGCAAGCAAGCAAGCGCACACACACACACACACACACACACACACACACACACACACGAACTTTTAAACATTTCCATTGCATTTTAAATTAGACTAAAAAAATTACCCTTTGAAACAGAGAAATACAATGTCTGGTCTCCTACAGCTACTACCTGTTGCTGAAGATTCTTTTATTGTCCTCTGCACAATCTCCTTTATTTCTTGTATTTGAGTCAGAAATCGCAAGTCATCTTCTGGTCTCTGATAGGTGGCATCCTTTTGCTCGTCTTCCTGAGTCAGGGAAGACTTCTCAGTGGAGCCGCCCTCGTCCCTGTGTTTGGTATCATACGATTTTGCTGAGGAAATGCTGCGTTCACTGGGTGCCTCGGCCATTTCCTCGCTCTCGGTGATGAATTCCCCCGTTTCAGATTCTCGCCCGCGGGTCACATCTGACCCTTCTGCTTCTTCTGAAGGCCGAGGGATACTGATGACATCCGCAGCCGCTTCGCTGACTGACGTGGAGTCCACGTCTGCTGTGGAATCAGTTGTCGTCTGAGGGTCAACAGGCTCCTCCGCGTCGGACATTTTTCTGAATTAAGACAAATAGAGTTACAACACATGTGAGAGCTCCTTGCTGCACACGACCTGGCATTGGTTCCCCAGCACCACGGGGTGGCTCACAAGGGTCTGAAACTTCAGTTCCGGGGATCAGAGGCCTTCTTCTGGCATGCGGGAATACCAGCCACACATGTGGCTCACACACATACATGCAGAAAAAGCTCTCAGACACCTGATATACTGATCCTTATTTTTTTTCTTCTTTCCTAGATTTTTTTTATTTAGAGACAATCTTATTTTACATATCAAACCCAGTTCCCTCTCCCTCCCACCCTCCCATGCCCCCCACCAACCCCCACCCCACCCCCTTCTTTATTTTTTAAGGTTTATTTTCTTACTAGTGACAGGCATCAGGTTAAAGCACAGGTGGAGTTTTAACTTTTAAAAAAATACTGAAAATTAAAAATAACAACCTTAAAATAGAATTTGGAATATGATTTTTTGTTGTTGTTGCTTTGTTTTTCTAGACAGGGTTTTTCTGTGGCTTTGGAGGCTGTCCTGGAACTAGCTCTTGTAGACGAGGCTGGTCTCAAACTCACAGAGATCTGCCTGCCTCTGCCTCCCGAGTGCTGGGATTAAAGGTGTGTGCCACTAACACCGGGCCTTATTTCATTTTTATTCAGTAAAGTTTACCTCTTTAAAACAAGACCTGGTTGTTTTTAGGTTTGGGTTTTTTGTTTTGTTTTGTTTTTTAATATAAAACTAATGTGGTATGGCAGCTTCTGGCAATAGAAAGGATTAAAATTTTCAACCAACCAACCAGATAATGTACACTGGACAAACACACACACACACACACACACAACCTGCATTATCTCTACTCTCACAAACAGAAGCAGAGACCCCAATGACCTCTTACCCACCAATACATATCAAATGTAGGACATGGTACAAGGTAAATGGAGTCAAAGTTACAGTAACCGAGAGTTTGGGCTTGTAATCCCCCAGGGGTTCCTGTGTTGCAAGGTTGGCCTTGCATGATTCAGTTTATGTGACAGAACCTAGTGGGAGGTCAAAAGGGTCTCCCTTCAGAAGGCAATGGGGTGGTTATCTTGGGATCCCAAGATTCATATTTTTGGAAAGAAAAGTGGGTTATTTAACTCACAGTCCTGAAGAATGAAAGTCTAAGCAACATGGCGCCAATCTGGCGAGGGAACCTCTGGCCATACCACCTCATGTCAGACGGCACCGGGGTAGAAGGAAAGATCTTGGGACTGCCAATTCCCATAGGAACGAGCTAAGATTTGGGGAACACTCCAGTGTATGTTACTGACCAGCTGCAGGGGTTAAACAGGAATTTCACAATCAGAGACTATCCTATATTTGCAAGTCAAAACATGCCAGTGATTTAAAATGGAGTAGAGAGTACATGCAGCCGATTTTTACTCTAATTCAGCTAGGATAAGCTGCTAACTAATATCTATCCCTAACACTCTCCATATGTCTATTAAGACACTCCACTTCGTACACAAATATGTACACAAATAAGCACTCCCTGCAGCATGTTTCACTTGCAAATGACCAGGCATGCACACTGTAGGATGAGCTGGAAAGGGCTGTGAAGCTCCAGCCTGAATAGGTACCTATGGCATCCCAGCCACAATTTGGAAAGAATTTTAAATTAATTTTTAACTTTTAAATGTTGTTATAATTTTCTAACACCACCAATGAAAGAGGATATAAAGATAACTGTCTTCTAATTCTAATTTTTGTCATGGACAATTTGGGGTTTGGTGGTGAATAAATACATAAAATATATTTAATATTTAAAGTGTAAATTGAATGTAAAGTTCCACATCTTTCACTTCAAATGCCTGTTCTAACCGTATAAAAGTTCATTGAGTTGTACAGACTCTGGGTCTGGTTAATTGGGCTTCTGATTTTTTTATTTATTGGCAAGTTTTTAAATTAATGTTAAACAATGCTATTAATGAATTTCATTTTCAAGAGGCCATGATATTCTTAAAAGAAAAAAATAAAGCTACTAGAACAGAAAGGGATGAAATAAACAGTAAAAGAACCCTCTTTATTTCTCAGTCTTGAGCAATATAGTTCTACAAATTGTTCATGGATAAATTTATAATTGGAGCCATATGTCTTTAACTATATAAACTTTTCTGCATATTTTAAACATTGATGCAGTTTTACTTGGTTTTTATTTAACATTTATTTGTTTGGCTAGTTTATTTTGGTTTTGGGGGGGTTGTTTTTTGTTTTTTTTCAGACAAGGTTTCTCTGTGTAACAGCCCTAGCTGTCCTGAAACTCTCTTTGTAGATAGACCAGGCTGGCCTTGAACTCATAGAGATCTGACTGCCTCTGCCTCCCAAGTGCTGGTATTAAAGGCATGTAACACCACTGCCCAACCTATACTTCACATTTTTAAACATTTATTTCTACCTTATTTTTCTCAACAAGTGTGTAATATCTTCATTGTAGAGCTGAGAAAGCCACATTACATTACATTCTAGTGAAGAACATTTCAACTGTCTTCAATGTCATACAAGTAAAAAGCAGGGCTGCAACAATGTACATCGTCTTTATTTACAAGTTAAAACGCACTATGAAAGACTTTCTATAGTTAGGTGAAAATGTCAATGCAGATCTCCATTAAATTCCATCAAATGGTTTTCTTAAAATTCCACATCATATTGCTGCCCCTTGACATTTCTTTTCATCTTTGTGCTGGGACATTAAGTATCTTCATTTAAATAACCCTTTGTTGTGTGTTATACATGTGTCAACCAATTGTACACTTGATGCTATATTGTCTTTTACTAGACTGTAGTTTTGGATTTTTTTGGTAGTGAAATTTATGAATCTTTTTGCTTATGGGTTTCCAAGTTTCACGGTGTCCTTACAAACACTGCCTCCCATGTAGCCTTACTACCTACATGTATCCACACAAATGTATGAAAAATAAGGCGACAGGAAATGCCTATAGGAAGCTACTCTGAGATAGACTATACAGTGTTAACACAGAACGGTGAGTACTGGTGTCAACTCCACCTACGCAACGTGTACACTCTGAACACCTCTGACGATGACTGGGTGGGGAGGAGGGCAGTGGGCAGGCGAAAGATGTTTCACAGTCAATGTTTCATCGTTAGAGCATGTGGTGGTTTGAATAAGAATGGCCCCTATAGACTCATAGATTTGAATGCTTGGTCATCAGAGAGTGGAACTCTGGTGGGATTAGAAGGATTTGGAAGTGTGGCCTTGTTAGAAGAAGTGTGTCACGATAGGTGGGCTTTGAGGTTTCAAAAGCCCAATCCAGACCTGCCGGCTCCCTGAGTGTGGATCAGGAGGTGACTCTCAGCTACTGCTCCAGCAACTGCCTGTATGCCACCATGTTCCCTGCCACCATGCGAACAGACTAACATCAGACACTGTAAGTGAGCCCCCAGTTAAATGCTTTCTTTTATAAGAGTTACCTTGGTCGTGTTATCTCTTCACAGCAATAGAACAGTGAATAAGACAGACAGACTGTCATGCTATTTGGTGGAGGTGCCCATCTCTTGACACAACATAGCACTGTGTAATCAAGGCTGGTCTTCAACTTGCCATCCTCCTGCCTCAGCTCTACAGTGCTAAGAGGTATGCATCCCCAAGGGTGAATAATTTTCCTCATTCTTATATATTATCTATTCAAAAGGTTTTAGTTTTATGGTTTAAAAATAAAACGCGATAGCTATTAAGGTGCCTTTTTCACCTCTAGTGCAGGATTTCATGTCTTCCCATTTAAAGCCTGCTGCATCTGGAATACTAGTAAGGCAGAGATCCTGCCTTAAGTTTTAGGCCGACTTAAGTTTTTGTTAGTAGGTGAGATGATGAAAGGACGAGCGCAGGCAAGCAGTGTGCCTGGTGAGGAAAGTCTGAAGGCCCTGAATTCCTTGCAGACTGGAAGCGGTCTCCATAGACAGCCAGATGCAGGCACCGTCCTTTCCTTTTCCAGCATTGCCATTATCAGTACCCGGGAGGTAGGGTGCTGTACACCTCCCATCTTAACCTTGTTGATTGACGGTATCAAATCAGGAAGGGGAGGTGGAGAGTAGCTAGAGAAGGGCAAAAAGAGGTGTGATGCTTTGTAAGGTTTGTGGTCTAAAGTTAAGGAGCATTATCTCCTGACCAAACGGTCCTAGGGCCCAAGAAAGATTGGCACCCCTGTAAGGTCCATACACCAGAGTCACCCCCACTTAGAAGCAGCAGCCATCTAGAAGAGGGACGCCGAATATGTCCCCTTACCTGCTCAAGAAACACAGCTATTACAGACCAAAAGGTTTCTCCAGTCCTGGGAAGCAGCCCCTTCCTGCTTACATGGTCTGTTGCTGGCCGTATCCTAGCAACTAGCAGCTTCCTCCTCCAGGGCACCGCCCCCACGCAGTTGCTAAGGAACTAGCCAGCAAGAGCAAAAGCGGAGAAGACAAAAGGGGAGATTGTTAGATGCCAGGAAACCTAGACCTTAACATGATTCAAAGCTAACCTCTCTCCTCCGGGAGCTCTTACACTTACAGATTAATTTCTTTAAAAATGCAAATATGAACACAGAGAGACAGGGATGATAAAAGAACACAAGTTTACAACAGTGTCTACTTTCTGTTGTCCAATTTCAACCCTTGATGTAGCTTCCTGGCAGCCAGAGAGAACAGGAGAACTATTAAATACTCCTCTTTATAAGTCAGGAGAAGCTTTGCTTTTCTGTCCTCAAATTCTTTAAAGTTTTAAAAAAATCACAATTTTGGAGAAAAGATCAACTATGCTCACTGCACCAATTTCATGTGGTTATCTCATGACAGCAGTTAACATTTAGTAAGTACTGTCATTAAGCGTCGTATCTGTATTTTGAATAGTCAATGCAATGATTCTATTGAAGGACTGCTATTAGCACTATTGTACTGTTGGGGAAAATGAAATGCCCAAAGATTTAATGAGAGAGATAGGATTAAACCCAGTCCAGATTTTAAACCCC